TCCCGCTGCTCAGGCTCAGGCCATGCATCTTGACCCTTTCGTCCCTTGCCCCGCTTGCCTCCCTTTGCTTCCGTTGCTCCTCTTGCTCCCCTCCAGGTGCTGGTCCAGGTGGGAGACGTGTTGGACCGTGGTGACGACGAGATTGCCATTCTCTCGCTGCTCAGACACCTGGACCGTCTGGCACAGCGGGAGGGAGGAGGCGTGCTCATGGTGAGCAAAAGAGGAGTGTGATGATGTGTTGGGAAGGGGGGTGTGTGCCAAAGGTGGGTTGTGCTCGTGGTTAGAGGGGTCGTGTGAAGGGGGTGGGCGTCGCTTTGGCAGCTGAAACGCAGAGGAAATGTAAAAAAGGAAAGAAATATTTTATGGCGTGTCTTACAAAAGGTAACCATGTGCCCTGCTGTCTTTGCTTTTGCTCTTAAACACCAGCTGAACGGCAACCATGAGACCATGAACGTAGCAGAGGAGTTTCGGTACGTGTCGGACGGGGGCTTCGAGGAGAGTGAGGACTTCTACTCCTTCTGCCTCTCCGATTGCGGGGGCGAATGGGACAGTGCACTCTTTTCCCAAGGCCTTTTTTGCCTCAATCCCTCCCTCCCTGCCTGCGGGCCTTCCTCCCTCTGTCTCCCCTTGGCTTTCACCCTCCTTTTTCAACCTCTTTTTAGCTGAACGGCAACCACGAAACAATGAATGTAGCAGAGGAGTTTCGGCACGTGTCGGACGGGGGCTTTGAGGAGAGCGAGGACTTTCCATTCACCTCCCTCCCTCCATGCTCTCCCCTCCCCCCTCCTTCCCCTCTCCGCCACCTTAGCTGAACGGCAACCATGAAACGATGAATGTAGCAGAGGAGTTTCGGTACGTGTCGGACGGGGGCTTTGAGGAGAGCGAGGACTTCTACTCCTTCTGCCTCTCCGAGTGCGGCGGGGACTGGGACAGCGCGTTCCGCGTGTGGTGGCAGGCCTCTCAGGAGCTGAAGGCGACTAAGAGGCGACGAAAGGGGCCGTGGAACGGATGGAACCCCATTCAGGTAGGAGGATTGTGGATGTTGTGGGATCAAGATGGGCTCAGGTAGAGAGGTGTATCGTGTAAAGCAGGGCGGTGGGGGCGACTAGGAGGGTGACTGGGAGAGTTTGTTCCGCGTGTGGTGGCAGGCGTCTCAGGAGCTCAAGGTGGGAGGCGGAAGGGGCCGTGGAACGGATGAAACCCCATTCAGGTAGGAAGGCGTGTGGATGGATGTAGACCAAGAGTAGAATGGTGGTGTTTGGGCGAGTTTCTATGAGTACAGGTTGGGGAGTGAGTGGTGTGGGGCCGACTGCGAGGGCACGTTGAGGGTGTGGTGGCAGGCGTGTCAGGGGCTGAAGGCGTCTAAGAAGCAACGGAAAGGTTTGTGGAATGGATGGAACCCCATTCAGGTAAAAGGACTGTGTGTGGATGCATCACACTTACTCGCTCAGTTCTCCCTCCTCCGCCCCTTTTCCCTCCCCCCAACACCCCCTCTCCCCAATCATCTACCCCTTTTCTTGCAGCGCCAGCGGCAGGTGCGGGAGCGGCACGAGATGTTTGAGGTGGGCGGGCCGATGGCTGCAGAACTGGCGAGGAACGGAGCAGCATTGATGGTCAACGACACACTATACGACACTCACCCTGCCTTACCTCATTCACCTCCTTCCCTTGCAGGGCCAGCGTCAAGTAAGGGAGAGGCACGAGCTGTTTGAAGTGGGCGGGCCAATGGCAGCAGAGCTGGCGCGGAACGGTGCTGCTCTCATGGTCAACGACACTTTGTTCGCTCACGGAGGCATTCTGCCTCACCATGGTGAGAGGGATGCGGTATTCTAAGTTCTGAAGGGGTAATGGCATGTGGATGGGGAATCCTGCCTCACCACGGTGAGGGGAATGTGGGTATGTTCATGTGCATGTAGATGGTTGTTGGTGTGGCAGCAGAGCTGGCGCGGAACGGAGCTGCTCTGATGGTCAACGACACTTTGGTCGCTCACGGGGGCATCCTGCCTCATCATGGTGAGGGGAATGTGGGTATTGACCGCATGCTCATGTGCATGTGGATGGCGGCATGGCACATGGTATTGGTAGGAGAATGTTGATACAGCGCATGCTGATTCAGGAAAAAATCAACCATATTGCTGTGTTCAATTGTCCAAATAACCACCCTCGCCCCTCCCCGTGTTCTCTCCAGTGGAGTCTGGTCTTCCTCGTTTGAGCCGGGAGCTGTTGCAGCGGATGTTGCGTGCGAGGTGAAGGAGGCAGGGGACAAGGGGATGAGAAAATGCGCCATCCACAAATTTTCCTCTTACTTCTCCTCTTCTCCCCCATTTTCTCCCCCCTCCAGTAGAGTATGGGTTGCCTCGCATGAACTGGGAGCTATTGCAGTGAATGAGGGGGAGGGGGATGGAATTACATGCTTACGTTTCCCTATCTCTGCGTTTCCACCTACTCCCTCCCCCCTCCACATCCTCCAGTGAAGTATGGTCTTCCGCACATGAACCGGGAGCTGTCGCAGTGGATGAGAGGCGAGGAGGTGTGGGACGAGGAGGTGTGGAGCGAGGGGGATAGAGTTGCATGCTTATATCTCCCTTTCTGTGTCTTTCCACCTACTCCCTTCCCCTTCCCCCCTCCCCCCCTTGCAGTGGAGTACGGTTTACCGCGGATGAACCGGGAGCTATCGCAGTGGATGCGGGGCGAGGAGGTGTGGGGCGAGGGGGGGCGCAGCCCGATGCCGTTCATTGTGACGAGGGGATTCAACAGTGTGGTGTGGACTCGGCTGTACTCGCAGGAATATCTGGGGTCGGGCGAGGACAAGTACAAGGTGAGGATGGGTGCAGAGTGGTACAAGGTGAGGTGAGTGCACAGTGTTGAAACGGCGGTTGAGGTTGGTGTGGGGGTTCAAAGGGGCGCAGCCCGATGCCGTTCATCGTGACGCGGGGCTTTAACAGTGTGGTGTGGACTCGGCTGTACTCGCAGGAATATTTGGGTTTGTGCGAGGACAAGTACAAGGTGAGTGAGTGTTGAAACAGTGTATTCAGGTTGGTGCGTGGGTTTCAAAATGGCGCAGCCCGATGCCGTTCATCGTGACGAGGGGATTCAACAGCGTGGTGTGGACTCGGCTGTACTCGCAGGAGTGCCTGGGGTCTGGCGAATATAAGAGCAAAGTGAGGGCGGGTGCGAAGCAGTGTGGAGACCAGTACACGGTGAAGTGAGGATAAGTGCAAGGTGACGTGCAGACATGTACAAACAAACAGAGCACGAGTGCCAGGTGACATGAAAACAAGGACCGGGGCAAGTGCACGGCTAATACTTTTAATGTGCAATGCTTTTTGAGATACGAGGAAATAACATTGAGTAAGGATGTCATGCCTTGCCCATATTCCTCTTTTCCCCGGACCATGCCCCATCCGTCCTGTGCCCACACAGATTTGCACCGTGCTGGCTGCTTCACTGGACGCGGTGGGAGCAAAGAGGCTTGTGGTCGGGCACACCCCTCAAGTGGGAGGGGCTAACGGGTGAGTAGTCACTACGGGTCAAGCAAGCAAGCGTGTGTGTGTGTGTGTGGCAGTGGGGAGAGGAGGGAGGTGGTGTTTGGTCAGGCGAATTTGTGTGCGCTTGTTGTGGTACCTCGTGCTCTTTTTTGGAGAGGGGGTGAGTGACACACTAATTGCATGTATGCACATTTTCTCCATAAGCACTTGCGAGGTTTGATAAGTCTGTTCAGACTCTATCTGTGTCTCATCTCTCTCGCCTGGCTCTCGTGTGTGCAGGGAGTGTGGGGGTAGAGTGTGGCGCATCGATGTGGGGATGTCATCAGGCATGCTCAACGCTCCACCCCAGGTATACACCCTCCTCCATGCATCTGCGTTCTACATCTTTGTCCGCACCCCACACCCACTTCAACTTTCCAAATTCCTGGCATCCCTGACGGTCTTCTATTTAACGATTAGCATGCCTTTCCCCTTCCTGTTGCCACCTCCACCCGTCACAGGTTCTGGAGATTGTGGGGGACTCTGTGCAAGTGCTGGGTACGCGCACCACAGACGGTCTGACTGCCATGCGCATGAGGAGATGAGGTGATGATAAGTAGGCGAGGCAATACGACAGCCGGGTTTGTTTGCTGCGCTCCGGAGCCGCTTGGTGTACGGAAATGAAGACGAGTGCAGGCATGCTTGCGATGGTGGAATTCTGCAGCACCATATGATTTGGTGGCCTATGAAAAAGGTTACACCCCCGCCCTATGACTGTACACCATTCTTTGACACCGGGGGCTGGTTATTGCTGTGCGAATGGGAGTGGCTGAGAATTGGCTGACTGTTGAGGAGTATACATGGCAAATTAGATCAGCCATCCATTTGTTGAACACTCTCAGCTTGGTTCTTGTTTTTGTGTTGCCTTGGTGTTGAGTTGAACATGTAATGTATTTGCATCCGGGATTGAACAAAGGAATTGTTATTATAGTGGGGTGTCCTACTTTTGTCAATGGCAAACCCAGCATACAAATGTGATCCTTCTTTTTCTGATTGTGCGTGTAGCTAACTTACAACCACGCGATATTCAATTTGGACCATGCGCGCATCCGCTATTCCAACAGTTCCCGGGGCCTTGGTTTGTTGACACAATCCCCACCCCATTTTCACAAAGCCATCTCTGAGCGTCAGCCTGACGCGTGAGGGAAAGCCGTCCCAGTGGTAGGATCCGTAGACGTGTGGTACGTTCGGGAAATTCATGAACGCAGCAAACGACTACTTTATCCGTTATTTCTTACCATGTAGCCGATTAAGATTCACATGTGAAGATTTCGTGAAGCATTAGCGTCGGCGTGGCCTAATTATGCCACCTGTTCATGAGCGAGTGAGGTGACGATCCGCCACTTGGCATCACGATCGGAAACCACGCGAGTGTCATGTCGCATGTTCATGGCCAAGGAGCCAATGGGAGTGTGTTCACTCGAGGCCGTTCTACTCACAATGACGCGGTTTCGTCGTATGCGTATCCCTTAGACTCAGCGAAGGGTATGACTACCAGACCCCCTTTGAATCACAATGAGTTCGCGGAGCCAACTTATTGTCATCGCCCGGAATCAGCGTATAGGGGATTCAGTGGAGGAAACGCCATGGGAGGGGACGGAGGAAGAGGCGGAGGAGGTGGACAAAGTCGCGCTTTCGGTTGCGAGGAGGTGGATAAGCAGCGGTTAGAGGCTGTGGATGCGAGGGGATCGAGTCATTGCGTGGACGAGCGAGCAGCCGCCACGTGGATTTATCCGTGTAGGTTTCTGACTGGGTAGGCGGTTGGGAAACAATCAGACTTTTCCATTCTACATGAAGCCTAGTATTCTATTGTCCATTACCCTTAATTTCCGTCTGTTATACTCTAAGTCATCCTAGGGAAGCGACATCTCCAAGCCAACACTTGCCAATTCACACTCCATTCTCATATCCCTCGCAGCCAATTGCGAGCTTCGCCAGTACCAGTACGAAATCGCAGAGGCAGCTCTCTTCGCCAACACCCTCGTGTGCCTTCCCACCGGCGTGGGGAAAACCCTCATTGCCGCCGTTGTCATGGCCAACTACTACCGCTGGTTCCCGCACGGTCAGTGATTGAACAGGTTTGAACTTTCACCTCATGGCCACCGTTGCCATGGCCAAATACTCTGCACGGTTAGTCATTCAGCCAATCACTTTCGGACAAAATTGATTGCCTTTGGCAACTTTCAGAGACCAATGTGGTAACCCAACTTTACCAACAGTGACCCAACTGGTACTTTCAATTTACTTCACTTTCATTTTTTGCCTTTGCCAACTTTACTAACAGTGACCCATGTGGTTTCTTCTCTGAACGTGCATAAAGTTGATCCTGCAGTCACGTGTTTCCTCACTCCTCCTGCATCATCAAAATGTGTGTATGCATGCAATTCCGGGTGCATGCATGCGCACGTGGGTCTTCGTCCATGTTTGCATTGCATATGCGCCATCATCATTCAGGCAAGATCGTGTTCATGGCTCCCACGCGTCCTCTGGTGCTGCAGCAGATCCGAGCATGCCACAACGTCGTCGCCATCCCACAGGTAGGACCGTTCACTGCTGAAAACATCCCACTTTCCCCATCAGCTTCAGCTTATCTCACCTTAGTAATGAGTCAGATTTCGACCTCCAGGCAAGATGATCCTGTGGCTGAGAGTGTCAGTTGCTCTTATTCTGTGAGTCAGTGAGTCCATTCCATGCGCATGCGAGACAAGATCCGCTGTGTCTTTTTCTCGTGCATCCTGGTTTGCTCTTGCAATGCTCTTGAGGATCCCTGACTCTTTACGAGCACATGATGTACATGCTGGGGCCGATTAGTCATGAGGGGGCAAAGGGAGCAGAACGAGCAGTGCTCAATCTTTTGACGCCCCAACTCTTTTGCTACCCTTCCTTTCTCCCCGTTTTCAGGAGCACACAATGCACATGACGGGGCAGATGGCGCGGGAGCAGAGGGCGCAGCACTGGAGGGAGCAAAGGTGCTCATTCCGTTATGACAATAATCATTCACCGTTCCCTCCCACCCCCCAGGAGCACACGATGCACATGACGGGGCAGATGGCGCGGGAGCAGCGTGCGCAGCACTGGAGGGAGCGGCGGGTATTCTTTGTCACGGGGCAGGTGCTGCTGCAGGACATGGTGCAGTGGGGTGAGTGGTGGTGCAGTGCGGTGAGTGGTGCTTAGGATATGGTGCACTGCGGTGATGGCTGCAATCAACGTTTTGCAGTATGCACGATTGCAGTGCATAATCACATTCACAGTGCAATACAGTAATGTGCGGTACAGCACACGGTGTATGTGGTGTGGGTAAGCCAAGACAACTTGTGACTGAACTGACTTTCCAAGTGGGTTGTGCGCAGATGCGTGTCTGGATAGTTGTATCATATAGTGTGTTGTGTCCATCAATCAGTGAATGAAGCCCCAACCCGTTTGGAGACCTAAACAGAAGAGTCGGAACTTAGCTAGCCGGAATCCATGTGCTGTGCTGTGCCCTCCCACCCACGGTACTCAGGTGCCTGTCCGCGTGAGGCAATTGTGTGTCTGGTGGTGGACGAGGCTCACAGAGCCACGGGCAATTATGCATACGCACGCGTGGTGGAGGAGGTGAGCTGAGGGGTGTGGGCAGTGGGTGGGTTGGGGGATGTGTTGGTGGATGAGTGGGTGGGGTGGGGGGTGGAACTGTTCAGCACCCTCGGCTCATCTCATCATCCACGTTTTGCAATCAAGCTCCCCTCAGGTCCTCGCTTCTCTTTTATGCTTCCCTCATCTCATCCCACCATTGTACCTCATCTCAGCTTCCTCTTCTTCTCACCTCTCTTTTTGTCGGCCTTGCCCCACTACTTGCTCCGTTTCTCCCTGTCGCTGTCCCTGCTTCTCCCGCTGTCGCTCTTGTTCTCATGGCAGCTCAATAAAGCTGGTGTTGCGTTCAGAGTTCTTGCATTGACCGCCACTCCTGGATGTACGTTCCCCATGCACGCTTACCCCTCTACCATCCTCCCCGCCCTCTTTTCTTTCATCGAGACCTTCGTGGATGGAATGACCAAGTCGTTCACTTCACGTTACATTGTCAACATTCGTCGTAATGGACAAGGGCAAACCATGTCGTCGTATTGCTCCCTTGCGTCACCTCCTCAACGACTTCTCAACATACCCATCCTGCTCTGTTGAGACGTCTCAAAAGTCACCGACATCTCAACACACCCGTCCTGCTCTGTGCTACTCATCCAGCTCAGAATTCACTGAACTTGCATTCACCGGCACTTCATTCTTGCTCCTTTCCATATCTCCAGCCCAGAGCCCAAGGTACTGGAGGTGGTGGACAAGCTGGGCATATCACTCATTGACGGCTGCTCTGATGTGCCGTCAACTCTACCAATTTCCCCTTGCTCTCCCCTCTCTCGCCTCCGTACCTCCAGCCCAGCTGCCCAAGGTACAGGAGGTGGTGGACAAGCTGGCCATATCGCTCATAGAGTACCGGGGAGACGATGACCCGCAAGTTGCCCAGTACATGCACAAGCGCACCGAGCAAGTCATCAAGGTACGCTGTGCAAGTATGCTTGGACCGTAATGCTTTGTGCTGCTGGTCTCAAGTGCCAGACTGTCTCCCATCCATCCACACCCCGCTCTCTCATCCCCTCCTTCGTCCCCCACTCCTCCTCCCCCTCTACATGCAGGTGCGGATGCACACCACAGTAGCGGAGGTGGAAAAGCTGTTTGCTGTAAAGCAAAGCGAATTCATTTCCATCCATCTCTCCTCCGCTGTCGCTCAACCTCATATCTCTCGCTCACTTCCCCCTCCCCCCTTCCCCTTCATGCAGGTGCGAATGCACACAGCAGTGGCGGAGGTGGAGAAGCTGCTGCTAGCGGAGCAGAGGAGGTGCCTGGAATCCCTCAATCGCCTGGGCCTTGTGTCCTCGGCGCTCGTATCCTCCAGCAAGGTCAGCTCACTCAGTCAATAGCGATTGTATGCATGCACTTGAATTGAATAAATCTTCGATTCCACTTTCGCACACATACTCGTCCTGCTGCTAGCGGAGCGGAGAAGGTTCTTGAAAGCCCTCAATCGCCTTGGTCTTGTGTCCTTGGCTTGGCCCTGGGCTCCTCCAGCAAGGTCAGCTCAGAGTGGAATTGCATTCGCGTTTGTGCATTGCATGCACTTGAATCAATCTTATCTTAGGATCGTCATGCATGCATGCATGTGCATCTCAAGAGAAGCTTCCCAGCTTCAGGTGTGTCAACTTGTGTCATCCCACCACCTACAGTTGAATCATCAAGTATTGAAAACAGTCTTACAGAGCTTCCTCTTGCCGCCCCTCTCTCCTGCCACCATTCACTTCCCTCCCAGATTGTTTTCTCCCACCAGCTGCGGATGATCCAGGAGCAGCGCGAGTGCAGTCATCTCAATCCCTTCAAGGGCTTCCTCTTTGGGCCCTTTGACCCTCTCCTTTGACACACCATGCCCTCCCAAATCGTTTCCTCCTACCAGCTGCGCATGATCCAAAGGCTGTGCAAGATGTGCCGTTCCGATCTCACCCCCCCTCGCCCTTCCCCTCCCTTGTCACACCATGCCCTCCCAGATGGTATCATCTCACCAGCTGCGCATGCTCCAGGAGCAGCGGGAGATAGCCAGCCGCCCCAATCAGCTCAAGGCCTTCCCCTCTTGGCCTCTCACCCTTCCCCCGTCTCGCCCCCTCCCAGATGGTGTCCTCTCACCAGCTGCGCATGATTCAGGAGCAGCGGGAGATCAGCCGGCAGCAGGAGGCATGGGCCCTGTACTAGAGACGCTCATGTATCTCCGTTCCCCTCTCTCTCCCCTGCCGCCATGCTCTTCTCTCCCAGATGGTATCCTCCCACCAGCTGCGCATGATCCAGGAGCAGCGGGAGATGAGCTGGCAGCAGGAGGCAGCAGCGCGGGGCTTTGGAGCAGCGCCCATGGGGGGCAGGGAGGCAGCGGGGGCTATACTAGAGAGGCTCATGCTTTTCCGTTTCCCCTTCTTTTCCCAGATGATGTCCTCCCACCAGCTGCGCATGATCCAGGAGCAGTGTGAGATGCGTCAACTCACTTCAAGGCCTTCCCCTCCTGCCCCAGCCTCCTCTCTCTTGCTACTATTCCCTCCCAGATGGTATCCTCCCACCAGCTGCGCATGATCCAGGAGCAGCGGGAGATGAGCTGGCAGCAGGAGGTGGCAGCACGGGGCTTTGGAGCAGCGCCCATGGGCGGCAGGGAGGCAGCGGGGGGGCTGTACTAGAAAGGCTCATGTCTTTCTGTTCCCATCTACCCTGCCAACTTTCCCTTTTTTCCACAGATGGTGTCGTCCCACCAGCTGCGCATGATCCAGGAGCAGCGGGAGATGAGCCGGCAGCAGGAGGCAGCGGCTCGGGGCTTTGGGGCGGCGCCCATGGGGGGCAGGGAGGCGGCGGGGCAGATGTGGTGGGCGCGGGCAGAGGCTGTGGGGGCTGCACTAGAGAGGCTTATGTCGCATGGCATGCGCTCAGCACTGCACGTGATTGAGAGGAGCAGGTGAGTGGAGACAAGGGGTAATTAGGATAAGGGATGGCAGGGAGATGGCGGGGCAGATGTGGTGGGTAAGGGGCAATGCTGTGGGGGCGGCTCTGGAGAGGCTCATGTCGCATGGCATGCGCTCAGCACTGCACGTGATTGAGAGGAGCAGGTGAGTGAAGGCAGACCGTATGTGGCATTGAATGGGAGGGCAGGCAGGGAGGCAGTGGGGCAGATGAGGTGGGCGCCGGCAGAGGCTGTAGGGGCGGCACTCGAGAGGCTCATGTCACATGGCATGCGCTCAGCACTGAATGTGATTGAGAGTGTGAGAAGAAAAGTTAGAAGAGAAGTTGATGATTTGATTGAAAAGGATGGGGGGTTTACATAGGAGATGGGTTGGAAACTAGCCTAGGTGAACATTATTGGACCCCAACCAAGGAGTTGGGTTGGGAGATTATTGGTGGGGTCCAATAATGTTGGCCAAGTTGGAGTTGGGCCAACATTATTGGAGGGGACCAATAATTCTACCCATCCCAACCCTTGGGGTCCAATAATTGGACCAAGGTTGGGTTTCCAACCTACAAATTGGGTAACCCCTGCTTGTACACCCAAACTAAGTTTGGGTGCTTATCTCTAGCCTATCCTATAGCATATATGCAGGTTACAAGAGAGGAGATATTCTAACAGAGAGGAGCAGGTGAGGGAAGGGGTATGGGAGTTAATGAGACTGGTAGCTCTCCAAATGCTGCGAGATGTGGTGGGTAGGGTACTGGGCAGAGGTCGTGGGGGCTGTTCTGGAAAGGTAACCTGTTGCGTCGCAAGCCACGTGAGAACGTTTGAGGCTCGTCAACAGACATGGCATGTGCTCGCATCACACAATGCCTCCCTCTTCCCTCTCCTCTCCTTTCTCACAGGCCGTTGGCTGCAGTGGTGAGGGAGGAGAATATGCACAAGGCGTTGACCATCATGCGTCGCACTGTGGGAGGGGACGTTGGGGGGAAGGCCGGCAAGGGAAGGCATGGCAATGCCACGTCATCAGCTTCCACGTCAGCTGCCAGGGGTGGCCCGTCGTCTGCTGCAGCGGCTGCCATCTCTCCGAAGCTGGTGGAGTTGGAGAAGCTGCTGCTGCTGCACTTCAGGGAGGGTGCGTGATGGTGGGTGTTGGTGGGTGATGGTGTGCGTGGGTGGGTGATGGTGGGTGTTGGTGGGCAAGCTTCTTGCGTCTTAGAATCTTGAATTGTTAGGCGTTTCGAAACATTGAGCTTTGAGACGACTCGACTCGAAGCCGGCGGAGCTGGGGAAGCTGCTGCTGCTGCACTTCAGGGGGGGTGGGTTCGCTTGACGCTGCTGTTTGTATGCTGCTGGCCTGTCAGCATGGTTCATACATCCACGTGTGATGGTGTGCGTCCGCCTGTAGCACGGCACAGCTGCCACTACCATGGCAACCATCCGCTCCATTCCTGGTAGTGAGGAAAAGAAGCGGCCTCTTCTGGTGAGGAAATCATTCCCTCCTGGCCATTTCCTTTCCTTAGGAGGCCTCTTTAATCATTCCCTCCTGCCCCCTACGGTTCTCCCTTTTCTCGCCCGCTCCTCCGTCCCACCCCGCAGCCCAGCAGCGTGGCACAGGTGACACGAGGGCCATCATCTTTTCCACCTTTCGAGACAGTGTGCAGTGAGTAACTGTAGCAGGTGTGACCGTAGCATGTATGACTGTAGCAGCTGTGACTGTAGCAGGTGTGACTGTAGCAGGAGTGACTATAGCAGGTGCGAGACTGAAGCAGGTGTGGCTGTAATAGGTGTGAGACTGTAGCAGGTGTGACTGTAGCAAGTTTGACCCTGTAGAACGTTTGACCCTGTAGTATTGGTACTACAGGGTCAACTGTAGCACAGTGTCTTACAAATTGATCTACGGTACCTAGTATTTATCATCTCTGTTTCGCTTGTTCGCTTGGGATTTGTGCTCCATGAGTCATTAGGAATTTGTGTCTTGTAATCATAATTTGTGCAATGCCCATTGCACGTGATGAGCAGGGAGATTGTGGAGTGCCTATCACAGCACGAGCCGTTAATTCGAGTGAAGCAGTTCATCGGGCAGAGCCCAGGTACGTGCAGTACGGTCCACTTGTTTTTTTTGGGGGGGACGTATCTGCCTGTCTCACCTAGTAGTTGTCAAGTTGACTATCTCTCAGCACCTGACAAAGTAACAGAGTAACCCTCTCTCTGCTGCACTGCAGGAGCAGACATGCCTCAGAACCGCCCCAAGGGGTCTGCGCGTGCCAAGGGGCTTCCACAAATAGGAGCAAGGGGAGGGGGAAGGGGAAGGGGAACGGGAGGGCGTGGGGAAGGGCGCGGGGGAAGGGGAAAGGGAGGGCGAGGGACTGGAGGAAGAGCCCCTTTGGATGGTTTGAACGGAAGTGCAGGTGTGAGGAGGGGAGGGAGAGGCAATGCTGGTGGGGGTGTGGCGAAGGGTGTGTGCAGGGAGGAGGATGGGGAGGAGGGATGGGACGCTGAGGCAGAGGATTTAGGAGAGGGAATTGTACATGAGGAGCAAGAGAGGGCGGAAGAGGAAGGGGATGAAGGGGAGGAAGGAGCAGGGGAGGAGGAGGGGGACTTGGAAGTGAGGAAGCGGTTGATGGGCCAGTCGCAGAAGCAGCAGCAGGAAGTGCTGGATGTGAGTGTCTCATGGTCACAGCTTCCTCCCTTTACCAATCTCCTTATCCTTCTGCTGCTGTCCCGTTTTCCCAGTTTTTTCACTAGTGTCTCTCGTTTCTCTCTCTTCTCCCATCAGGGCTTCAAAGCAGGGACGTACAATGTGCTTGTCTCCACGACCATTGGGGAGGAGGGGCTGTACACAATGTGCTTTTCTGCCGTTCCCTCTTGCATCTTCTGTTCCTCCGTAACTTCTCTCTATCAGGGATTCAAAGCAGGAACGTACAACGTGCTTGTCTCCACAACCATTGGGGAGGAGGGGCTGGACATATCCCAGGTGAGTTGTGCCGCATTGAATGCTTACTTAATTTCCTGGACCTCTCTACCAACCCTCTGACTCTTTTTGCCTTGCCATAACTCTCATCCCTTGGTTCCCTGCCATTCCCGTACCTTTGCTTCCTATTCCCCTCCCCCCACTCTCCTGGTACCGCTCCCTCCCACCCCTCCCGTCAGGTGGATCTGGTTGTGTGCTTCGATGCGGTCTCTGTGCTGCGCATGACTCAGCGCATGGGGCGCACTGGCCGCAGCAGGGACGGCAAAGTGGATATCCTCCTCACCACTCCACTCTGCTCTTCACCGCTCCCCGCCTTCCCTTCACCCCTGTCCACCAAAAACCTTCACCCTTCACTCTCTCCAATTGTCTCTGTGCCTCTCTGTAGTGTCCTCTGTAACTGTTAGTGATCCCTATCTCATTTCCCTCCTTTTCTTGCACCGCACCCTTTGTCTCAAGCACGTATCTGGTTTCCTTAACTTTGGACCTCCCATCTCCACGCATTGTTGCTCCTGCTCTTTCTTTCGCCCCCTCTCCTTCTCTCCCTTCCCACCACCCCATCCAATCCCCTTTCCCACTTTCTATTCCCTGAATTCTGTCGCCTCGCCATTGTTCATTGCTGCACTGTCTGCCTGTTCTGATGTATCATTCCACCTACCACTGGTGCTAGCCACGGAGGGGTGGGAGATTGAGAGGTTCAACGCCAAGCGCAAGGCCAATCGAGCACTTTCCAGGAATCTTCGCACCGCGCACACGTCAGGGGTGCTTCGCTTTCATGACAGCCTGCGAATGGTGCGTGCCGTGTTCCAGCTGAGCTATGTGCTATGTGCTAGGTGCTGTCTCTCGTGCCGTGTGCCATGTTCCATGTGCCATGTGCCGTATGCGGTGTATCATGTAACCCCCTCATCCCCATCAGTTACTTTTCAATCATCCTGATCCCCCCTCCCCATCCCCACCACCAGCTGCCGCATCGCCTGCCAAAGCCCGCTGTTGCCATCGTCAACATCCAGCCGCCCGCCTTCAGCCCGCCTCGCTCCAAACGACGCCGTCCCTCGTCATCCCCAGCCTCCCTCGATCCCTCCGCCAAGAAAGCCCGGGGGAAGAGAGCAAGTGGAGTAAGAGCAGCATCAGAAGGATCCCCCATTCCAGTGACCCAACTGCTGTCAGCTGAAGCAGATGCTCTCTCCAGGTATCCCTCCCTGCTGAAGCTTGTCCAGCCGGCTGCTAACTGGCTTGGTGGCGGTTCTGGTGGCGGGGAGGAGGTGAGATGGAAGCCTAGCCTTACGGGGTTCCTGTCGGCGCAGACGCAGCGAATGAGGACGTGCCAGGTGGCGCATTCGGATAGGTCGGAGCGGATGCTGGTGGGGACACTGAGGATACTGCAGGGGACGGGAAGCGATGTGGGGTTGGGGAGGGATGGGGGGACGGGAGGGGACGTGGTGACAGAAAGGGATGTGGGGATGGGAATAGGTGCAGGCACTGGAGGGAGCGGGGGGACAGGAATGCATGTGGGGAACGATACGGATTCGTGGAAGGGAGTGAATTTGGAAAATTCATTTCATGGGAGGACGGAATCCAGATTGGGAGGAGCACCGTGGTGGCACACGAGAGGAGGGCTTGAGTTGAAGCAACAGGGCAGCGGAAGGAAGGCTGTTGTTGGAGCGAGAGTTGGAGGGGGTAGAGGTGGTGAGAGACACACGAGGGAGCACCAGGGAGGGGAATGGGAGGGTAGTGAGCAGGAGAAGGGTCATGGGGAGGGTTGTGCCCTGGACAGGGCCGTTGAGAGTGGTGGGGATGGTGTGGTTGGTGGGTTCTGCGCTGTTGGTAGGGGTAGTGGGCATAATGACGAGGTGGAGGGTGGTGAGATGGAGGAGAATGGGTACGTGGGGTTGGATGAGTATGAAGAGCCAACGATCTGGAGGTATGTTGGCGGGGTGGAGGAGGGTGGTGAAGGCTTGGAGCCGCAGGATAGGGCGGAGCAAGGGGATGGGAGGGTTGGGAATGTCAATTGCAAGAGTGTGTGGAGGGAGAACGATGCCTGGATGGATGCGGTTGTACAGAAGGAGACTTGCATTGGGGTTGATGTGGGCAGGGGCATGGAATCCGTGAGAGGAGTGGGAGTTGCGGGAGGTGGCACGGCGGCTGAATCTGGACCGTCGGGGCAGAAGGGCATGCTTGCAGTTGGTGGTGCAGTTGGTTCGGAGGCAACTTGGAGACGCATGGGAGTGGAGGGAGGTGTTGGGGGGCCTGAATCTGAACCATACAAGCAGAAGGATTTGCATGCAACTGGTGGTGCTGGTGGTGACGGTGGTGGCGGTGGTGCTGGTGCTGCTGCTGGAGATGCGCTGGATCCAATTTTGCTGTCGGATGACGTGAGTGATGGCGCTGCAAGCCGAACCAGTGGCAGCGTGAGAGGAGCAGCTGCAACAACAGCAGCCGCAGCGGCAAAAGCAGCAGCACCAGAAGTATCAGTATCAGCAGCAGCAGCAGCAGCAGCAGGAGCTGAAGAAGCTGATGTTTGCATTGCGGAACAAGGCAGAGCACATGGTTCAGGGGAGAAGAGGAGGGGGGATGCGGGCCACGAGCCTAATGGTGAGGTGCAGGGCCCAGGCTCAAAGAGCAGGGAGGCGGGCGTGTGTGCAGCAGAGCAGAATGACACGGAAGCAGCTGGAGGAAGGAAACCCTGCGAGTTTAGCCGGGACTGTCAGGGGGGCAGTGCAGTGGGGAGAACAGAGAGCAGTAGCCGGCTTGCGTGGGCTGTTAGGCCCTGCCGTCAGCAGCAGCAGCAGCAGCAGCAGCAGAGGTCTGATGTGAATGCTTCTGGTGGGAGTAAGATGGGTTGCAAGGTGGTGATGGGTGCATATTCAGGTGCTGTTTGTAGGGCAGGTGGTGCGGTTGGGGGTAGGTGGGCTGATGGGGACAGGCAACTGCCATTGTCTCCACAGCCACCACGACCACCGCGACTAGCACCCGCAGTACCAGCACCACCATCAGCAGTACCAGCAGCAGCAGCACCGCCGCCAGCACCATCGCCCCAGCACCCGCCAGCAGCACCTCGACCACCAGCAACAGCAGCAGCACCAGCAGCACCACCAGCAGAACCAGCACCACCAGCAGCAGTGCCCTCGCCACCGCAGCCATCAGCAAAGCCGCCACAGCCACTGTCCCGGATGCAATCGGCCGTTTATACGGATGGTGAATGGGGCGGCACTGGTGATAGTGAGGGAGATGAAGGGAGCGAGGGAGAGGGAGTTAGAGGGCAGAGGAGGAAGGGGAGAAGGGGGGATGTGGGGGGTGGAAGGAGGAGACAGTGGAGAAGGCAGATGGTGGTGATGACACAGGATGGTGGTGATGACACAGGATGGTGGTGATGACACAGGATGGTGGTGATGACACAGGATGGTGGTGATGACACAGGATGGTGGTGATGACACAGGATGGTGGTGATGACACAGGATGGTGGTGATGACACAGGATGGTGGTGATGACACAGGATGGTGGTGATGACACAGGATGGTGGTGATGACACAGGATGGTGGTGATGACACAGGATGGTGGTGATGACACAGGATGGTGGTGATGACACAGGATGGTGGGGAGGATGCGGGAAATGGTGCTGGTCGTGGTGGTGGTGATGGTGATGATGGTGCTGGTGGTCGTAATGACTGGGATTCGCAGAGAGAAAGCAGGGTTGGGCCTGAACCAGTGAGTGGAGGCAAAGGTGTAACAGTAACGAAGGGCGCAGAAGAGGAGACGCTCAACTCGCCTCAGCAGCGCTCAAGAACCCTCAAGAGGCTACGGAGAGGCCGGCAGGCAGGCAGCAGCAGTGATGGGTGCATGGTATTTGGAGGCGGTAGTGGTGGGGGCAGTAGCGAAGCACGGGGCAGTGGTGAAGCATGGGGAACGGAGAGGAGAGGCGGTGGTGGGAGGGACAGCCCAGGGGCCAAGGGAGGGAGGCTCAGGGATGCTGTGGGCACGAGCAATGGCAGTACTTATGGTGGAAGGGGCAGGAGAGGGAGAGGCAAGGCGATGGCTCGAAGGGTGCTGGACTTCATTGATGAGGAGGCTGAGTGAGTGCGGTGCTGTGTGTTTACCTGCTGTGCTGTGCAAATAGGTGCTTCGAGGTGCCATGAGGTGCTGTGCTGTGCTTTGAGTTGCTGTGTTGCCCATTCAAGCGGGTGACATTTGCTAGTTCAATCAACCAATGACCAATGGAACCACTTTTTTTAACCTTGTCGCTATCTCTCCTGTTCTCTCCCTCGTACCCATACTATTATTTTCATCTATTACAGCGTCTGTCTCATTATTTCCTGCACTTTCTTTGTCTTTTCTGTGGCAGGGAGTCGGACCGTGATGCCACACAGGAAAGCCAAGAGGATGCTGACGTGGCATGGGCGGATGATGACATGGCGGATTTCATCGTCAGCAGAGTGGAGGGAGAGGGGAGTGGTGACATGGGAGAGGAAGAAGAGGAGGAGGAGGAGGGTGAGGAGGGAGAGGAAGATGAGGGGGAAGAGAGTGGGGAAGAAGAGGATGAGATTGAGGAAGTGGAAGATGACGAGGAGGAGGGGAATGAGGGAGGAGAGGGGAGCAGTGCAGGGAGGCATGGAGGGCCCATGGTGACAGAGAGGAGCATGCAGCACATCTACCGGTGAGTTGATGGCTCAATCACGTCACAAGTGTGGTTGAGTTGAGTGGATCGAGCTTCTTGGTGATTGGATTGGGCCTGAGGATTAAAGCCATTGCTGATCATGTCACATCCTATCAGACTCATTCTCTTTCTTTGCTTGTTCCACACACTTCTCTCCCCAACCCACTCTCCTGCAACACTCCTCGTTTTCCGCTCCACCCGCTCCGCTTCTTCCCCCACCCCCACACCACCTGCCCACCTTCCTGCCCCGCATGCTCCTTTGCCAGGGCGTCTCTTCTTAGCCAGCTTCCGGTGGACCACTTCCTCCCACCACCACCGCGGCGGAGAAAGCACAAGCAATCAATAACACGTCTTAAAACTCTTCTTTTCTCCCCATCCCTCCCCATCCCCTCCCCATCCCCCGCTTCCTTGCCAGGGCATCCCTGCTGAGCCAGCTACCCGTGGACCACTTCTCCCCACCACCACGACGCCAAAAGCACAGAGAATCCAGACCGACCAACCACTTGCAGCCAGCAGATCATCTCAAGCCTACTGCACATCCCAGCAGCAACAGAGGCACAGCCACACCCTTTGGCTGCCATGCCCCAGCCTCAGGAACCATCCCAGCCTCTTCAACCCACCCCTCCAGCACCTCTTCCCCACACTCCCCTAGTTCCTTTCCCCACCCCTCTCCCAGTCCCCCATCCCCTCGCCGCTCTCTCCTGCCGCAATTTGCCTCGTCTCCACTTGGGCTTGCCGCCCGCAACGCCAACAAGATGCGATTCCTGCCGCCCAGAAGAGACTCTGTGCCGCCCAGAGTGCATGCTGCATCAGCCCGTGCACATTGCCTGCCACCCAGTGCGCGCTCTGCGCCACCCAGTGCGCACTCTGCGCCGCCCAGTGCGCACTCTGCGCCGCCCCGGTGGCATCAAGGGGATGCGAGGGAGGGGACGGTGAGCGGCAGTGGATTAGCTGAAGGCAGGAGCGGGCATGGCGTGCAGCATTCCGATCCCCATGCACGTGACTGTACCGAGCGTGAACGTGCCTGTGAGTATAACGAGGGTGAACGTCCATGCGCGACCATTGAGGATGAACATGGATGTGACAATAATGCGGGCGATCGAAGTCGTGACACTAACAAGCGGGAGGCTGGATGTGATATCAACGAGGGAGAGCGTGCATGTGGGAGTGAAGGGGAGGAGGATATATTTGAGGGGATAGATCTGGATGCTCTGGAAGCAGAGGCATGGGCGAGCAAGAGCAGAGGCGGAGGGGGAGGAAGTGGGAGCAGTGTGGGAGGAGGCAGAAGAGATGGAAGGATGAGTGGGGGTACGGCTATCTCTTCAGCAGCAGCGGGACCTTCGTCCCAATACTCGCCAGCAACAGCAGCAACAGGAGCAGCTACGCGCCAAGCATTCCCAGCCACCCCCCCACACACAGCTGCCTCTGTTCCAACACCAGCATCACCCACCATCCCTCCCCAATCTGCCCTCTCTGCACAACCCCGTGCAACGCTCCCTGACGCGTCTCACAACGCATCTCATGCGTTCCCTGGCGCATGTCACCCAACTTCCCCTGCAATTACCCCTCGCGCAGTTGCTGCCTCAGCAGCGCATGCAGCTCAACTCAAGGACGGCTTGGCTGTGGCGGGTACACCTGTTGCTCACGACAAACCTGTTTGTGAGGAGCAGTGTGTCGGTGGGGATGAGGTGTTTGGGGACATTGATCTCGATGCATTGGAGGCAGAGGCATTGCAGAAGAGCCAGCACAAGAAGCAGCGGGCGGTGGCGACTTTTGAGGCGCGTCAGAGTGAGGTGTTTGGGGGCATTGATCTTGACGCGTTGGAGGCAGAGGCATTGGAACAGAGCCAGCGCAAGCGGTGGGGGGCGGCGCCGGCAAGTGAGGGGACGGTGAAGGGGAGGGTGGTGGTGGTGGAACGGGGTGTTGGGGCAGGAGTGGAAGGAAGCTTGTCGTTGTCACCGCAGTGGTGTGCTTGGTGACTGTTCGTTGTCATTGTTTTCGTTTCACATTCTTTTATTCCGTTGCCGTCGTTGATTTTTTATGAGGTTATGAGGATTGCCCCATAAAGTTTGCGAGCATGTTTGCAAGCACATGCAACATGGTAGGTACATTTCAGGCCGTGAAAAGTTACACTAAGATGCATTAACCCTACCAAATCAGGAAGTGTATACGGTATTGGCGGACTTGTTAAACACGCACTTGTTGTGAGCTGGAAAGCAGAACTCATTGGCGAGGATGAAACATGAGGCTGAAGGGATTGCACTGGTTCTTGGAAGCGCGTCGGCTGGCGAGCATGGCAGCCATTACTGTCAATACTGGTACTACGAAATCTGGTCTACTGATCGTCTTTAAGTAAATCAGTTGTCTAGTTTGGCGATTAATCGCGTTAGGCATTTTCTAATTCAAGACCCTCGTCGCTTTCCCAACCTCTGTATCGTTCTTACCGCAGTGTCGCGGTTGCTGCAGTTTCCTCGGCTGTACACGTGGAAGGCAGATCGCGAATGGCGGAATTGACTGGACGGAACGACGCTGAAACGTCAGGGGGTTCTAACGGCGGAGAAGAGGGCGCAATAAATTCTCAGACGTGTCGAATTGCGTCAGGTGGTGATAGTAGGGGGGCAGCAGAGGCTGTAACGAGGTTTGCAGAAAATTCGGACGCTCCAGGAGGCAGTAAGGGGGAAGACGTGGCGGTAACGAGTTCAGCGCCAAGGGGCAGTGGGGGAGAGGCGGAGGGGGGACAATGGAAGGAGAAAGCGCTTAATCTTGAAAAGGCGGTGGGGATGCTGCAAGCGCGGGTGGCGGAGCTTGAGAGGGCTTTGGAGAAAGAGCGGACGGAGCGCGCGGCGGAGCGGAGAGGGCGGATCCGCGCGGAGCAGCAGCTGCGCACCCGCCTGCTCGCCCCCGCCGCCGCTGGGCCCTCGTCGTCGACTGTGCGCGCACACGGCGCGCTCGCCGCTGAATCGCCGCAAGAAGGAGACGCGCATGGCGACGGGCCTGGCGACGCGCATGGCGACAGCAATGGCGTTACAGACAGCGACGCTAGAGACCAGTCAGACGGCTGTGACGTGGCGGTGACTCAGCACGGGCGTCAATCCTCACAGGAACAGCGCGGGCAGGAAAACGGGCAGGAGCACGGGCAGGAAAACGGGCCTGAACACGGGCAGGAACGCGGGAGTGTTGGGCTCAGCACTTACCCCATGACTCCCATTGGCGTTATCCGCTCCTGCTTCTCTACCAGGTAGGCGGATCGAAACTCGCATGCTGCTCTAGGCTACTTCACATGGCCAGCATGTTTTGAGAATTCTCAAAAAGGCTACTTCACATGGCTGGCATGTTTTGAGAATTCTCAAAAAGGCTACTTCACATGGCCAGCATGCGAGAATCACCGCCATGTGGATTGAAACACGGGCGACTTCACATGGCCAGTGAATTTTCTCTTCTCTTCTCCTCCTCCCCTCTCACCTCTCCCATGCCTCTGCCATTGGTATTATCCGCTCCTGCTTCTCTGCCAGGTATGCATGCTGAAACACACTTGTCAAGTGGTTTCGCTCTTATTCTCTTCCTCCCCTCTCACTCTCTTCTTCCCCTCCCACCAGTCACTCCCACCCTCCCCTCTCACCTCTTTCCTCTCATTCTCCCACCTCTCCTCTCTCGCTCCCCACCCTCCCTTTTGACCTTTCTCCACCCCTTCGCATGCAGGAATGGCACGCCACGTCAGCCACTGCTGGTGCCAGCAGCGCGGGCCTATCTGGAGCTGCCACGTGGCGGGGTGGCGCCAGCAGCGCTGCAGGGATTGGAGGGGTACTCGCACTGCTGGCTGCTCTACGTGTTTCACGCCAACACGGACATTCAGAGGCTCTGGTCCGACCCCCACCACCGCAAGTTCCGTGCCAAGGTGTATGCATGTCAGATGAGGGTTGGTGAAAGGTTTCAGGGTTCAGGGTTTGAGGCCTCTTATTACGTGCTGCCACTTGTCAAAAGTTATTTTTTGAGGCGTCTCGAAGAATCACTTATCAGGTGGCCTGTTAATACGTTCTTCCGCCACTGCATGCAGGTCCGAGTGCCGAGGCTGCAGGGAGGCAAGCTGAAAGCACTGGCAACACGCACGCCACACCGGCCAGTGCCCATTGGGTCGATGCCTATGTTTAATAGATGCTTTCCAATGCCATTATAACCTGCTGGACGCCCATGCAGGTCCGGGTGCTGAGGCTGCAGGGAGGCAAGCTGGGAGCGCTGGCAACGCGTACCCCACACCCACACCAGCCGGTGCCCATTGGGTCTCAACTCAATGCCATCACCTGTCAAATGTTCATACTTGTTATTGCTCCATGCAGGTCCGGGTGCCGAGGCTGCAAGGGGGAAAGCTGGGAGCGCTGGCAACGCGCACGCCGCACCGTCCTGTGCCCATCGGGCTGAGCATCGCCAAGGTGGAGCGCGTGGAGGGGCGGCGGGTGCTTCTATCTGGAGCGGACTTGGTGGATGGCTCTGTGAGTGGCTGGTTCTGTATGATTTACAAGCACCACCTTTCCAGCCGCACCGTCCTGTGCCCATCGGGCTGAGCATCGCCAGGGTGGAGCGCGTGGAGGGGCGACGGGTGTTGCTGTCGGGCGCTGATATTGTTGACGGCACGGTGAGTGGCACTGTTGGTTTCTGACATCTCTCAAATACCACCTTACCAGCCGCACCGGCCGCTGCCCATCGGGCTGAGCATCGCCAGGGTGGAGGGCGTGGAGGGGCGACGGGTGCTCCTGTCAGGCGCTGACTTGGTGGATGGCTCTGTGAGTGGCTGTAATGACTGCCAGTTGGTTGTAATGGTTACGAGTTGGATGTTACGAGGGTTATCAAGCACCACCGTACTAGTCTCACCGGCCGCTGCCCATCAGTTTGAGCATTGCCAGGGTGGAGCGCGTGGAGGGGCGGCGGGTGCTGCTCGAGTTTTTGACAGCATGGTGAGTGGCTGTTCTGAGCACCAAAGGCTTTTTATCGCAGGCTGGTTCTTGAGAATTCTGAAAGGCGGTTATTTTTCTTTCCTTTTTTGAATATTTAAATATTTTTTTAACAGCGTGCTTCACACGCGCTCCCCCCTCGTCTTCATTCCCAGTATCTACCCCTCCCTTGTACCCCTCTCTCTCTTTTTCTCTTCTCCCTCTACCTACCACACTCCCTTCCTCTTCCCCCACACACACCACAGCCCGTGTTGGACATCAAGCCATATCTGCCCTACTCTGACGCCTTGCCATCTGCCTCACACTCTCAAATTCCCCTACCGCCCTCTTCTCACTCCACCAACCCCTCTTCATCCCCCCCAACCCACCCGCACCACAGCCTGTGTTGGATATCAAGCCGTATCTGCCCTACTCAGACGCATTGCCGTCTGCCACTGTGCCACAATGGGTGGAGGTGAGTCGCCATGGGTTTGCTGTCATCTGCCTCATCTGCCACAGTGTGTCACATTAGGTATCACGCAAGTGATTTTTGAGAATTCTCAAAAATAACTCGTACGCTGTCATCTGCCACAGTGTCACATTAGGTATCACGTATCGCGTATCACATATCGCGTATCACGTATCATTATTCAGTCTTACTCATTTTCAGAAGCTGTCCAACGTGCATCATCGCCCCCCCTTTTTTCTGTTTTTATCTTTAATTAATAACCACACTATGTATGATTGATTTTCCACATATGTGCTCATGATTGCATTGCATGCACCGCCATGAGTGTGGATTGACTTTTGAGTCGACTCAAAAGTCAGATGTGCTCATGATTGCATTGCATGCACCGCCATGAGTGTGGATTGTATGATTGGATGCGTTGGACCAATGTGCATATGTGGATCGATGAGCGCATTGCATGCATGACTGTTTTTGTGTATCCCCCGTTCTTCCCCTTTTCTCTCCATTCTCCCCTATTTCCCACCATCCCCCCCCGCCAGCCGGTCGCCTTCCATCCCGCCCTGTCCATCCACTTCCTTCTCCCCTTGACATTCCCGCACACTCCCCCCCATCTCCTTATTCCCCCCCCCACCAGCCATCAGGAGAGGGCGATGGGATGCATATGGCGTCCGTCGCCTTCCATCCCACTTTTGAGTCGACTCAAATCAAAGTCATAATGAGTAAACCCAAACACCTGCGCCCCCATCCTCTCCCACCAGCCGTCAGGAGAGGGCGATGGGATGCATATGGCGTCCGTCGCCTTCCTTCCTGCCGTCTCCTGAGAATGAGTGTTGAGCCGCCTCACAACTCATTTCCCCCCATTCTCCCCCATCCTCCCTTCACAATTTCCCCCATGATCCCACACCAGCCATCAGGAGAGGGCGATGGCATGCACATGGCGTCAGTCTCCTTCCATCCCGCCGTCTCCACACAGCTTCAACATGCATGGTCCTCCCAGGTGCGTGCGCTTACTTTCAGGCCACTTTTCTATGGACCCCAAAATTAACTTTCCATCCCACCGTCTCCACACAGCTTCAACATGCATGGTCCTCCCAGGTGCGTGCGCTTACTTTCAGGCCACTTTTCTATGGACCCCAAAATTAACTTTCCATCCCGCCGTCTCCACACAGCTTCAACATGCATGGCCCTCCCAGGTTCGCCTCCTTGTGCGCCTTTTTTTGCTGTCGTCTTTCCTCTCCTTCTCTTTCTCCTCTCCCTCTTCCCCCCTTCTCTCCCTCTCATCCTCTCCCCCTTGGCCACCTCTCCGGCTCCCACACTCTGCCTCCCTTCCCCTCCGTCCAGAGCCACCGCTCGTTATACTCACACCCTGACGACCTGCAAGAGCTTTGCCGGCAGGTTCTGTCGCGAGACATTCGTTCCGTTTCCCATCGTTCTGGTTCCCACGGCAAGTCAGGTCAAAATCTGGATCTCTCTAACAAAGCGATGAGCGAACATCCCGAGCATAAAATTCCAAATTCCGAGTTTACTCAGAAGCCCGAATCTGAGCTATCAGGCTCGGTAATCGGGACAGAAAGTGTAGTTCATGTACCTTGTGATGCAGTGCTTCCTGATTCAGCAGGAGTGGCGTCAGTTGTAAGAAATGGCGGCTTGAAGGTTGCGCATGAAGACTCAAGCTTGGTGGGGGACCGTGGTGTGGAAAGTGTAGTGTACCATGTAATTTTGGACGGTATAGATTTCAGTTATGTTGTGTTGGACGGCAACCACGTTGTGGTCAAGGAGGCAAGGCTAATTGCTCTTTGATATGAGTATGTTAATTTCCTTCGGATGTCATGTCACGCATCATTTGGCTTGACATCCATGAAGCACTACTACTACACCACTGTAACTTTCTTCGGAAATCTCTACTTCACCCTTATTCTTCTGCTTCGCATGTTCCCTCCCCCGGTATTGCTTGTAGCGGGTACTCGTTGTTCCACACATGGTGTGGTCTTCTTGTGCTGGTCTGGGTTTCCGAATCAGTCAGCAATCGCGCACATCGCTGCTAGCCATCCACGAGGAAGGACATCACTGGTGCTTAGCAGGACGGCGAACACATCATGTGCTGTCTCGCGCGAATCCCGACCCTCGAATCTCGATGTGACACCTGGTCACCAAATCCATCTGTCTCACGACCACGACAGATGCGAGCCAGCCTGTTTGCTGGCGAGGCTTGGATTCGCGTCGCGTCCTGGGAGTTCCTGTCAATGGCAGGAAGGGAAATCCGTCAGAAGCGCAAAAATCATCATACATGAAAAGAACACTTCTTTCTTCTATCTCCCAGTATCACTAGCCTTGCTTTGCGCAATCCGTCTCCGTCTCCGTCTCCGTCAGGTGCTGCGACCAATCCAAAGCCATGCTGTCCGTCAGCAACGCTGCAGCCGTCGCTGCTAATACCTTCTCCAACGGTGCTGCAAGAATTGCCGTCTCTCGTCGGGGACTTGAACCCGCGTTGACTGGACGATCCACCACCAAGAGCGCGAGTCTGACAGGTTAAAACTCTTCGCCGTCAACGCTTCCCACTCACTCTGCAAGAACTGAGAATTCTTGTCGCCAGGATATTTAAATTAACTCTGAATTTGCACAGTACTTTTCCTTATTTACACCTTTGTTTATCATCTTCTTTCTTTTCGTATCCACTCAAATTTCCTGGCTCAGGTAAACGCGGCGCATCACCGGCCGTAACGGTGTTCTGCTCCGCGAACCCCCACACCGGCGCGTCCACGTCAGCACCGTCCGCGTCAGCTCCGTCCACGTCAGCATCAGCCATGACATCTGACAGCGGAGAAGCGGCTTCGTTCCGGCAAATGAGTCCGGAGGAGCATTGGTGGTGGGGTACCCCTGACTACCTGATGGGTAACTGGCACGGCCAGTGGCGATCGTGGAAGCCGATGCAATCAACGGACGAGATCAGATCCATGAAATCCGTGCGGAAATTGTGGGCCACGTCACCCGATCTCAGCAGCTTTGCCCACATGGTGATTCACAGACCCTTCCTCTCCTACCCCTCTCCGTCTCCCCTTCTCCCCGTTCCCCCACTCTCCCTCTCCCCCTCCCTCTTTTCCCTTCCCCTCCCCCCCCCCCTTCTTTTCCCTCCCTCTCCCTCCTCGCCCCCCCCCCCCCCCTCCTCCGCCTCTTCCCTCGCAGCCGTTCTCCCGCGTACTCATTTTTTTCTCCTCAATTAGTGCGCATTCTCCTCTCCCTTGGTCGATTCTCCACACGCCCTGAAGGCTGACGCAAGCCCACGTTCCGCTTTCCACCGCCCAGGGCGGAAGTCAAGATTTTAAGTCGACTCAAATGTCACCCTCACAATCCCTCTTCACTCTCCCCTCACACTCTCCCCTTACACTCTCCCCTCACACTCTCCCCTCACAACTCTCCCTTCCCTGCCCATCCTCAGAACGACTGGTACGACCACCAGGGCGAAGTTTCCAAGCAACCGCCCAGGCAGGGCGTCCAGTGGGACATGTCCCTGGCAGAGCACAGCCTGCCAGACGGATTCTGCCACGTGGCAAACAGCAATGCGCGCCGCTACGTCGTGAGCCGCCAGGCGGACGCAATCTGGGCGCCTCTGGAGATTGCTGATGGGGAAGGCGGCATCAAGCTGCCTTTCCTGGTCGAATTCTTCTTCTCCCGCAGTGAGTCTCCCTGCTGCGTTCTCTCGTTGAAACTTTTTAGAAGCTACTCTCTCCCCAGGCGTATGCAATCTGGGCGCCTCTGGAGATCGCCGATGGGGAAGGTGGCATCAAGCTGCCTTTCCTCGTGGAATTCTTCTTCTCCCACAGTAAGCGCCCTTTGCTGCTGATACAACATCTCAGCTGTTCTCTCAAAATGACAGCGGATGCGTCAGCCATGTTTAATGAACCTCCCTGCTCACATCTGCTCCGTTTGCCTTTCCCCTCCAGCCCCCACGGCTCGTCTCGGCAGCATGGTGGGGTTCGAACAAGACGGGGCATCCTGGCTGGTCAGGGTGGATGCAATATTTTCTCCCCATTCAAAGTTCCCTTGCTTCCTTTGCTCCCTTCGTTTCCCTTCTTTGCTTCCTTTGTTCCCTTCCTCTGCTTCCTTCTCTCTCCAGCCCCCACAGCTCGTCTCGGCAGCATGGTCGGGTTTGAACAAGACGGAGCGTTTCGCACCTCTGTGGTGGTTGAGGAGTCGCTAGACACCAACGAGCGCCGCCCCTCCGACTGGGTCTGGCCCACGTGGGGCCCGGGCGGCGTCCCGTCCCTTCTGCCCGACCAACTGCCGCCCGTTCCGGCACTAGATGACAAGACAATGGTGGGAACTCGCACCGTTCTGACTCGCAACCTGATGGTTCAGGAGTGGGAGAACGTGTCCTGGGCGGAAGAATGGGGCCCAAACAGTGCTGCCGCCGCTGCAGCTGTTGCAGCAGCTGCTTCTGGTGACACTGCTTCAGCGGGAAAAGCCTTTGCAGCAGAAGTAACAGGAGCAGCGGCAGCAGCTGGGTTCATGGGCCGAGTTCCGGAGGGCGACGAGGAGCGGTACGCGGTGTTTGCTCTGCCGCACGGGGTGGTGGCATGCGCCCCTCGTTCGCTACAGCTGGTGGCTGGCAGGCCAGTCGTGTATTCGGTGTCGTGGGTGGTGGGGGAGGGCGAGGTGAAACGCATCACTGCCTCTTGGGGGGCTAATGGGGCCTTTGAGAAAGTGGAGGGCGAGTTGTACACGAGATAGGCGTGAAAGGGGTAAACGGGAGGCGTTTGCCGTGGGGAATGTGAACAATATTACCGTACAATATATTCCTGGATATAATCAAGTAAATGTTCACCCTAGCCATTCTGCCTCTATTTTAGGAAAGTCCCCCGGGTCTTATATCCGGGAAAATAAGCTTGGATATTGAATCACTTCGGCTATGTACTCAGCCCCAAAGTAATCACATTATACATCACCCTTCTTGTTGGATCGCGTCGTCACGGTATTACTCGATGCTTCTTAAAGCGCGTACATTGTGTTTCTGAATCCAGGTGTCACTGTCGCATTCGTAACATTGGCGACTCACTGGTGCCATCCACCACGGAATCGAATGGAATGGAAACACCACACTGCCGCTTTATCATCGGGATTCGCCACCTAGCAGGACGGCGAACCCAGAGGAAATCCATGAGCTCTAATCTGATTGGCGTAGCATCGATCGGCTCCCATAAGTCACTTGACTAAAGCGAGGGGAGGATCTCATACCGTACGCTAGAGCAGGCACAGCAACCATCTGCGGATGATCAGCCTGCGGAAAGATAAGAGCCATGTTTCTAACCACTTCCCAGATTTCGACAGAATCACCACTATCCTCCTCGCTACAGCCGTCTGTGCTGTTATTGAATCCAAAGGCGTGTAGATCACCAATGCTGCAGCGGTGGCCGCGATTACATAATCCGATTAGGTAGTTCGAATTCGTTGCAATACTTGCCGTCTCTCGCGGGGGACTTAGACCCGCATTGATTGGGCGATCCACCAATCGCGCGAGCCTTACAGGTAGCACTTAACACGTCAGCACCGTCCACGTCAGCATCATCCATGGCATCTGACGGCGGAGAAGCGGCGCCGTTCCGGCAGATGAGTACGGAGGAGCACTGGTGGTGGGGCACGCCGGAGCGCCTTATGACCAACTGGCACGGCCAATGGCGATGCTGGAAGCCGCTCGAATCAACGGACGCGATCCGATCCTTTAAATCCGTGCGAAAATTCTGGGCCACGTCACCCGATCGCAGCAGTTTCGCTCACATGGTGAGCCACAGAGACTCCTTTCCTCCCTCCCGTACCCCTATATTTTTTCCCTTCCCCATCCCGACCCTCCTCCCACCCCTCCCCCTTTCCCCCGCAACTCCCTTGGTTCCCCCGCACCTAGCTCCCGTTCTCCTCTCCCTTGTCGTTTTTCCTCGCACTCTGACGCACGCCCACCGTGCCTTTTCAATTGACTCAAATGTCACCCTCGCAATCTCCCATGCTATCCCTCCCTTGGTCTACCGCAGAACGACTTTAACGACGAGCAGGGCGAGGCGAGGTGCCCAAGGTTCGGCCCCAGTCGGGGGTCCAGTGGGACATATGTCGCTCGCGCAGCACAGCCCGCATTCAGTCCACTCAAATGCCACCCTCGCACTCTCCCCTCACACTCTCACCTCACGCTCTCACCTGGCCCTCTCCCCCACCCTCTCTCCCTCCCCTGGTCTACCCCAGAACGACTTTTACGACGAGCAGGGCGAGGTGCCCAAGTTTCGGCCTCCGGTCGGCGTGCAATGGGACATGTCACTGACAGAGCACAGCCTGCCGGACGGATTCTGCCACGTGGCAGTCGGCACAGCGCGCCGCCACTCCGTCAGCAGGGAGGGGGACGGGATATGGGGGCCTCTGGAGGTGGGGGATGGCGCGGGGGGCATCAAGCCTTTTGTGGAGGAGTTTTTTTTCTCCCACAGTGAGTGCTCCTCGCTTTCGTTGAACCTTTTGAGAAGCTTCTTTGTTCTCATGCGGAGAATAACTAGGCGCCTCTCCGGAGGTGGGGGACGGGGCGGGCGGCATCAAGCCTTTTGTGGAGGAGTTCTTCTTCTCCCACAGTGAGTCGGCCCTGCCTTGCCCTGCAGTTAGTGCTCCTTGCTGCTGGCACAATCTCCCAAGTAGACACCTACCAGGCAGGCAGGTGCATGCATCTAATCAGGATGTGGGGGATGGCGCGGGTGGCATCAAGCCTTTTGTGGAGGAGTTTTTCTTCTCCCACAGTGAGTCATGCCTGCTGCGATCGGTTTAGTCTCTCAACTGCGCGACGTTGGTTTGTTTGCTTTTCCACTCCAGCTCCCAGCATTGCCGGATTCGATCACGAAGGAGCATTGCGCCCATTCACAGCTGATGCAGAACTTCTCTCCCCATTCACACCTCCTTTGCTTCCTTCATTTGCTTCCTTTGCTCCCTTCTCTCTCCAGCCCCCACGTCTCGTTTCGGCTGCATGGTGGGAATCAGTCCGGAAGGAGCTTTGTGGCCATTCTTAATCCAGAACCACTCTTCCCATTCACACCTCCTTTCCTTGCTTTCTGTCCTTCGCTCCCCTTCTCTCTCCAGCCCCCACGTCTCGTTTCGGCTGCATGATCGGATACGATCCCGAAGGAGCACTGCGCGCCTACGTGGCGGCCGAGGACTCGCTAGACACTAACGAGCGCCGCCCCTCCGACTGGGTCTGGCCCACGTGGGGCCCGGGCGGCGTCCCGTCCCAGCTTCCCGACCACCTGCCGTCCGTTCCGGCACTAGATGACAAGACAATGGTGGGAACTCGCACTATCCTGACCCGGAATCTTATGGTTCAGGAGCGGGAGAACGTGTCCTGGGCAGAGGAATGGGGCCCAAACAGTGCTGCCGCTGCTGCTGCCGTTGCAGCAGCTGCAGCAACCGCTACTGCTGCTTCAGCTGAAAAATCTGCTGCAGCGGATGCCGCAGCAGCAGCAGCAGCAGCTGCTGCTGCTGGGTTCGTGGGCCGAGTGCCTGAGGGAGACGAGGACCGGTATGCGGCGTTTGCTCTGCCGCACGGGGTGGTGGTGTGCGCCCCTCGCTCCCTGCAGCTGGTGGCAGGCAGGCCGTTTGTGCTGTCGGTGTCGTGGGTGGTGGGGGAGGGTGAGGTGAAGCGCATCACTGCATCGTGGGGAAGTACTGGCAGCTTTGAGAAAGTGGAGGGCGAGTGGTACAAGCGACAGGCGTGAAAGGGGAGCAGTGGTGTATAGGAGGTTGAAACGAAGGGAGGGATGTGTCTGGTGGGGATGTGGGTGAAGGCATGGGAGAGAGAGAGAGGTGGCTCTGTGTGTGTGTGTCTGCACTGCACTGCACCTGTTTCACGGTAGCAAGCAGTGGTTGGGGAGAGAAGGTGCTTTAGGCTGGTGTGGTGATGCAAGCACGTGGAGTTGTCGAATCCTACTGCACATCACATCCGCTCTGAATAGGTAGGATTTGCGTGTTGAATGCAATGCCAATGGGTGAGATAAGAATAGAGTTGTCTGCGCGTGGGTGGGCCCTTTCTTGAATGGGATTCTTTCTTTTGGCCACCATACACTGTAACCGATACTACAACCACATCAAATCATGTGTGGAGAACAGCAAAGAAGAATCGGTACAAACTTTGTTCTGGACTAAACTACATTTGGCTGTTATGCCAGTTAGTTGGCCAAAACAGGGGAACATGGAAACACGGAAACATTACAGACGCCATACACTAAAGATAGTATCCGATAAACATACCGTATTATTCTCAGGGACAGAAGGGAGAGAAGAGAGCGAGGGAAGTAGCAGTGACAAATCTGGGTCGAATCTATTATTCTCGGGGAAAGGAGGGAAAGAGGGAAAGAGAGAGAGTCAGAGAAAGAGGGTAGTCAGAGTCACTAGTTCCCCGTGCAACATAACCCACCCCTCCAGGTCCTCTTCCTCATCCCCTCCCATGTCAATCCTCTCTCCTCCGCACCCCACACCTCACCCCCTCATTTCACGATTTATATTATGGGAACATTCCTTTCTCTGCATGCCTCCAGCCTTCAGCTGCCTGTCGCCACGCCACAGCAACAGCAGACACATACTCGCCGCGCTCGTACTTATGCTTCTCAAACACAATAAAGTCGTCTAAGTCCTCATACTCGTCCCCTCCCATGTGCATCCCCTCTCTCCCCTCCCATGTGAATCATGGAAAGCAGTCTCCCCCTGCCTGCCTCCACACCACAGCAACAGCAGACACAAAATCGCCCCGCTCGTACTTGTCCTTCTCAAACACAATAAAATCGTCTAAGTCCTCATACTCGTCCCCTCCCATGTGCATCCCCTCTCTCCTCTCCGCCTCCACCAAATCTGCGATGTAAGCATTCCGCCTCTTCCTCCCTCCCACCTTCCCCCCACCTTTCACTCCCGCCTTCCCCCCACCTTTCGCTCCCACCTTCCCCCCACCCTTCCCTCCCACCTTCCCCCCAACCTTCCCTCCCACCTTCTCTTCCATGCTTTCACTCTCCTCCCCTCCTTCCATGCTTTCGCTTTCCCCCAATCCCTCATTCTCCTCTCTTCCCAATTCCTCGAGCTCCCCTCCTCCCACTCCACTTTCTCCCCCTGCTTCGGTTCCTCCTCCTTCCGCTCCCACCTCTCCTCCCCCTTCACCCCCCACCTTACATCCACTGCTCCCCGCTCCCCTCTTTCCCCCACTTGCCCCATTCCCCCATACCTTACCCCCACCCTCCTCACTGTTTCCCTCCTCTTTCGCCCCACCTCCCCTAGTCCTCCCCCCAACACCCCCACCCTTCTGCACTGCACCCCCACTTGCCCCTTTCCCCAACACTCTATTTAGGTGCGATTTTTGAGAATTCTCGAAAGTCGCACCTTTCCCCAATACTCTGCCTGCCCCGCCCTTCTCCTCTGACCACACCTCGTTCCATCCAGCTACCTCATCCTGCTTCGCAAAACCCTCCTCACCACTTCTAACCGCTCCAGACTCCTCTGCCTCCTGCGCAACAGCTTTCTGTGCCTTTTCCTGGCGAGCGTCGCCCAAGTTCCCAACCAAACCAGAGCTTTTATCCTTTCTCATCGCCTCTGCTACCACCTTCCCCAGATGGTACCAGTCCACTTCTTCCCCAACCTCCCCTTCCCCCTTCTCTCCCTTCTCTCCCTTCTCTCCCTTCTCTCCCCCCCCCATGCCTTCCCCTTTCGCTCCTCCCTCTCCTTCCCCCACCCCTTCCATCCACTTCTGCCGCCCACTGTGCCGCCCACCGCCCTGCTCTGCTTCCACTCTCTTCAGCATCGTGCTGTTACGCAGTAACCTGGTTACCCTAACCTGCCCTACCAGCTCACACTGCTTGCTCTGCCCTCCCTTCTCACGCTGTTTCCCCTGTGCTCCCATTTTCCGCTGCTCCTCCTTCCTCTGCCCATCCCCCTCCTTCAGCTCCTTTTCCTCTTGCTTGCTCGCCTCTCTCATTCCTTCTCCTTTCACCTCTTCCACCTCCACCATACCCACGGCACTGGTTTTCCCCCCTTTCACCTCCATACCCCATTTCTCTTCCACCTCTTGATACAACCCCACTTCCACCACAATTTCTTCATCCCCGCATGCTCCATTCTCCTTCCTCCCCTCCGTCTCCTCGCCCCCCACCCTCTCCTTGCTCCCCTGCCCCTCCTCGCCCTCCTCCTCCTCCTCAGTTAGATCCACAACCTCGCACTCCGGTTTTCCCGCCTCTCCTGTGTTTTTTATTTCCTCCGCCACCCTTTTCTTTTCCGCCTCCATCCTCTTCGTCTTTCCCCGCTCCCCCTCCGCAGACTTTCCGCCCTCCCGCTCCTCCTTCTCCCTCCCCATCCCCCCCAGTTCCTCCGCCCCCCCTACCTTCCCCGCCCGAGCTGTCTTCCCCTGCAGGATCAGACTCCGGCCCCGCCCCCGCCCCCGCCCCCGTCCCCGCCCCCGCCCCCGTTCCTCCCCTCCCTCCCTCGCAACCGACAATTGCTGCCGCCCCACCTTCCCTGCAGCGCCTGACCACTCGCCAACCCCTTCCTCAACTTCCTCCGCCTCCTCCGCCTTTGCTGAAACGGATAAGTTTTTGAGACGTCTCAAAAGCGTACTGGTTTCACGTTGCTGCCGCCCCACCTTCCCTGCAGCGCCCGACCCCTCGCCAACCCCTTCCGTGATTTCCTCCACCTCCTCCGCTTTTGCGGACTCTACCACCTCTTCCGCTGCATAAGGACCGCCTTCACCGACTGTCCGATCCACTTCCTCCACCTCCTCTGCTTTTGCCGACTCTACCGCCTCTTCGACCGCATAGTGACCGCCTTGGCCAACTGCCTGATCCACTTCCCCCACTTCCGCCACCTCCTTTACTTCCCCCACCTCCTTTAGTTTCCCCACCTCCTTTACTTCCCCCACCTCCTTTACTTCCCCCACCTCCTTTACTTCCCCCACCTCCTTTACTTCCCCCACCTCCTTTACTTCCCCCACCTCCGCCACTTCCCCCACCTCCGCCACTTCCCCCACCTCCTTTACCTCAACCACCTCCGCCACTTCGTTTCCCTCTTCCACCTCCTCTACCTCCCTCATTTCCTCTACATCCCTCCCTTCTTTTATTTCAACCATTTTCCCTACCTCTCCCATTTCCTCTACCTCCCTCATTCCCTTTAGCTCCCTCATTTCCTCTACCTCCCTCATTTCCTCTACCTCCCTCATTTCCTCTACCTCCCTCATTTCCTCTACCTCCCTCATTTCCTCTACCTCCCTCATTTCCTCTACCTCCCTCATTTCCTCTACCTCCCTCACTTCCTTTACTTCCCTCACTTCCTTTACGTCCCTCACTTCCTTTACTTCCCTCACTTCCTTTACTTCCTCCACCTCCGCCGCTTCTAGCACCGCCGCGTTTTGAGGTGCCTCATAGTAACACTTCTTGAAACCTGCCCGCTGCGCATCCACCGCCTCCTCCACCTCCTCCACTTCCCCCACTTCCTCCACTTCCCCCACTTCCTCCACTTCCCCCACTTCCTCCACTTCCCCCACTTCCTCCGCTTTCCCCACTTCCTCCACTTCCTCCGCGTCCTCCGTCACTTTTCCCCACACCACTTTCGACTCCAACTGACCCCAAGAACCCCCCTCCCCTTTCACGGCCCTCTCCTCCTTCAATTCCTCCAATTCCTCCACTTCCTCCGCTTCCTCCGTGTCCTCCGCCGCTTTTCTCTGCACCATTTTCGAGTCCAAGTGACCCCACGAAGACTTTAGAATCGACCCAATTCCTCCCCCTTCACCACTTTCCCCTCCTCCACCTGCTCCTCCACCTCCTTTCCCGCCCACAGCCTTCCTTCTCGCGGCGCGGGTAGTCCTCGCTGTGTCGTTTCCCCCTCTCGCCAATTCCTCCATCTCCGCTGTAAACACACTGCTTTTAAGCAACGTAAACGAGTGTAGATTGCGCAGCTCCCTGTCCTTGCGCCTCGTGTCCTCTTGAAACAAACTTGTTCGCAATAACGAGTACGAGTGCAGCATGCGCAGCTCCCTGCTCGTCCCTCGCACCCCGCTGCCCGACTCTCGCCTCGCTCCTTCCCAAGGTACAATGGCCAAGGGAGAGTTTTCACCCCGCGGCTCCTTCTTCACATCCTTCTTCGCCTCCTTCTTCGCATCCACTCTCGACGTTCTTCGAGCTGTCCTTTCTAAGCCTTTGGCTGTCGACTTATGACAATTGTCCATTTTTTTAGCCCACGACTCCTCCTCTCCGGCACCCGCTAATTCTGGACCCTTGGGTTCGAAAACCACCAGAGCTTTTCCGTTATCCACGTCCTCGTTACTAGCTACGGTTGCGATCTTCAGCTTCTTTGGTACACCTTGTCTCTCGACTTCAGAAACCCGGTACTTCTTGCGGGTATATCTACGCGTCGGTCCACTATCCAATTTCAGGGTGCATATAGTGTCTATTTTCAATTCGGCAGCAGGCTGCGGTTCAATTTTCGAGTCAATAGCGGACTGCGGTATCGCCATCATCTCCTTCGGACGCTTCTTAACGATGACCGTCGTTCGCTTTCCCATCGAGCTTGATCGGCTAGCCTCCGTACCCCTCCCACCTAAGCCCAGTTCGTTGCCTCGATACGAAACACTCCGTCAAACCGGATGCTCCCTTACGCGGCAGCCTCACGGGGTCCTGATAGATCGATGGCACTAGGAGAGAAGTTGCTTGGAGTCCAAAAGTGAACGGCGGGGAAACTGCCTCCCTGACTCAGTCAAAACGAAGTGGATTGTGAGGTGCCATTGTGGGCGAGTGGCTTCATGAACAAACTCGTTTCATAAGGCCTGCGTGCTTTTTAAAACTCAGGTTGCAACCGAGCTTGGTTCTTGTAAAATGGAGTTTCCGTGGGTTTGGATGGACAAATTGGAGTAGGGACCAAGAAAGCAGCGCGCCGCATGTCCCTTGATTTTAGTTGCGCGCGGCTTGATGGAGGAATTTCAACGCAACATTCGTGCCACGTGTTGACACGATTCTGTACGCCTTATTGTGTATTTTTGAACGCAGCTATAGCAATCTGTAGCTGAAATAGCTCTTTCGTAAACGTGTTTTGTTTCGTCTTCGGTGTTGGTGGGGTTCGTTGGGCAAATAGTGGGACCATTCTCGTCAGCTTGTTTTCTCCCCACGTCAGCACGGCCCACACTGACATGTCCCTGGGACACAGCAGCCCCAACTGACATGGAAATGAAACCGCCAACATCGAGGAACAAATATTCTTGCCTACTCCTTTCACCCAGCATTCGCTTCACCCTCATTCCGAGCTTCCTTTTTGGTATAGACCGAATTTCTCAGCTTTACCAGCTGTTATCGCCCGCACACGAGGTTTTCTAGGCGTCTCTTATCTTGATCGTAACTTGCGAGTAGGGTGCGCATCGAACCGCTCGTAATGACGACGCCAAAAGTTAAGCTCACCGTGGGCTCGGATGGAGTGGCTGTTATCGAAATTCACAACCCTCCTGTCAATGCTCTCGCACCAGAAGGTATTAGTGGTTTTGCGCACCAGAGTCGTCTTCTTGTTTATTATCAAGATTTCACGTTTCATACTCAATATTCTAACCTATCGATTTTGGCTGCAGTCCTTCTCGGTTTGAAGGTGTCGTTCGACGAGGCGCACCAGAGGAACGACGTGAAAGCCATTGTCGTAACTGGTAATCTGCAGAGCAACCTCTTCCTCGGCTCCTCCTCAACCCGTCGAAACTGACTTAGCATGTTTTTTTCTCACTGAAATAGCTCACGCTTGTTCTCTTCTTCTGTGTCTTCTTTTTCAGGGACAAATGGAAAGTTCTCAGGAGGCTTTGATATCTCGGCGATTGTTGCAGTTCAGGAGAATGGTACTGACTATTGTCTCTTCGTGCTTATCACGCTGTATCCTTTAGGGAGTCGAGTTGGTCAGTGACTCGTTTGGTTTTCCCCGTAACAGGGAACATGGACTCCATGGTCAGGCCGTCGGTCCCACTCTTCGTGGAGACCATCGAAGGTACGCAGCTCTCAACAATTCAATTCAGAAAAGAATATGACATTAATGCAAATACTTACATATGTCAGCGCTGCCTTATGCAGGTGGCTCAAAGCCAGTCGTGGCGGCCGTTGAGGGTCTTGCTCTAGGCGGTGGCTTGGAGCTTGCTCTGGTACGCGCGTCACCGCTCTAGGTCGTATAACCTCTCAAAACACACAATAGCATTCTCACGCAACGCAAGTACACACTCTGAAGCTCATTGTCGGTTCTGATTGTTTTGTTTCATATTTTTCCAATGCCAGTCATGCCATGCAAGAATCGCTGCACCCAAGGCTCAGCTGGGGCTTCCAGAGCTGCAGCTCGGCATCATCCCTGGATTCGGAGGTACTCAGCGTTTGCCTCGCCTGGTTGGTCTACAGAAGGCGATTGAAATGATTCTGGTGAGCTTCTTCTCCTGCATAACATTTTCCTTGCTGGTTATATATTTGTTCTAATGCTGTTCTGTTTTCCCATTTGCATCCAGATGTCCAAGCCTATCACGTCTGAAGCGGGACTCAAGGCAGGTCTGGTTGATCAGATTGTTCCAAGCAATGCACTCCTGACCACCGCCAAAGCGTGGGCTCTGAATATCGCCAGCGGCAGGAAGCCGTGGCTGAAGACGCTGGAGCGGAATGACAGGATTGAGAGCCTGGGCGAGGCTCGAGCCATCTTCAAGTTCGCGAGGGCTCAGGCGATTCAGACGGCTCCCAACCTGACTCATCCGCTGCGATGCCTGGATGCCATAGAGTATGGCGTCACCCATGGGGGGTATGCTGGCAATCTCAAGGTGAGCTCTGACGGACAGCAAAAGCTCTTGTGTTACTGAAACATCACTGTTTCATTGCAACGTGTGAGGTATCTGGTGGTTGAAGCTGATTCTTGGTTTTCGTGTTGCAGGAAGAGGAGATCTTTCTGGAACTTGTGCTTGCTGACACGGCCAAGTCCCTGACACATATCTTCTTTGCCCAGAGGCAAACGACTAAGGTACGTTGCTGTGCTGTAAAATGCCAATGAATGAACTCGTTGCAATGAATGTTGTATTGTACTCATGGATAAAGGAATGATAAGAGGAGCACTATACGAATGAGAGAAGGAAAGTTACAATCTGAAGGAAAGAAGCTGGATGCCATGTTAACGAATCTTTTTTTTTTTTTTTTTTTTTTTGAATCTCTCTCTCTCTTTTTTTTTTTTTTTTCTCAGGTTCCTGGCGTCACAGACCGGGGTTTGAAGCCTCGGCCCCTCCGCAAGGTGGCAGTGATTGGAGGGGGGTTGATGGGTTCCGGGATCGTCACGGCGCTCATCACGGCTAAGATTCAAGTCATCCTCAAAGAGGTCAATGCGCAGTTCCTGCAGCAAGGGCTGGACCGTGTCAAGGGTGAGCAATGAACGTGTTCATGTGTCCGCACTTTCTCTTGTCACGCACGTGCTGCCTTCCGTATCATGCTATTGTCACGGCGCTCATCACGGCTAAGATTCAAGTCGTCCTCAAGGAGGTCAATGCGCAGTTCCTGCAGCAAGGGCTGGACCGTGTCAAGGGTGAGCAATGAGCATGCTCATGTGTCCGCACTTTCTCTTGTCACACATAATTTGCCTTCTGGATCCTGCTATTAGATATCTTATGGGTTACATCAGCATTGGCCTTCTTTTGAGATATTGAAATTCTCCTTGGTTTTGTTTTTGTGGCAGCGAATTTCCAAGGAAGGCTAAAGAAGGGAAAGCTGACACAGGAGCAGGTGGATAAGATTTTGTCGCTGCTCAAGGGCACGCTCTCCTATGACGATTTCGCTGACGTGGATCTGGTTATTGAGGTGAGGCAGGGAAGAACTAATCAACCTGAAACATATCGGTTGCACGACGATAAAGTAAACAGTAATAATTATCTGAAATCTACAGGGAAAGAAAAAAATAAACGTTTTCTCATCCATTTTCCCGCTATGCAGGCTGTGATTGAGAGCATTCCGTTGAAGCAGCAGATCTTCCAGGACCTGGAGAGGGTGTGCAAGCCTGCATGCATCCTCTCGTCCAACACCTCAACCATCGACCTCAACGTCGTTGGAGCCAAGACACGCTCCCAGGACCGCATCATCGGCGCTCATTTTTTCAGGTATGCAGGAGCTGTGTCAATCAGAGAGTCAG